CTGCTCTGCTGTCCCAAACAGAAGAGGCAGTAAGTTGTAAATTACTGGAAAAAAAGAGTTTTGCAAAATTAAGCCATGTTATATAAGCATTTTCCACACCACAGAGATCTTGAAGTACGAACATTCATTAGATTTAAAAATAGATATCCATGAAACTTCTTCTTAAAAAAAAAAAACCAAACAACTCAAACCTTTTACATATATATTATTAACACAAAAATACACATGAATAAAGAACTGTACAAATACATGTATCACTAAGCAAGATACTCTGTGGATTCTCATATTAACATGTGCATGTTAAATATACATGTAAATTGACATGTATATCTATATATTAAAATTATACATCATACTTCCAAACATTTAAAGATTTTTTTTTTCTCTGTCTGCTTCATTAAAACTTGTAAAAGTACTTACTGTGATGAAATTAACTTTTAAAACTGCAGAGACTAGCATGACCTTAACCAAGCCATTACTTGCTGGCTTATAATATTTTCTGTTTCTGTTAGAATTACTGATGCATTAATTGCTTATCAAAATTCTAAACAGCTCATGAGTCAGTCTGAAGATAAACTAAATAAATATTAATGAGCCAATTTCAACAGAATTCATGTCCTCTGCCTCTTAAAGGTGAAAAGACTGTATTTATTACATGTCAGAATTTGGTCTTGTTACCTAATATAGGGGCAAAAATGAAATATACTCAAGACATACTCAGCAAATCAGAACTGATTGACTGGATCACCATCTTTTAAGGGATCTCTGCAGCAGTCTTATTTTACTACATTATACCTCAAAGACAGAAAGGACTGGTCAATTATAACATACAGATCGTGATTGATTGAAAAATAAAATACTTAGTTTTTAAGGTTGGAAAGTGATTTTAATAGACTGTGGGTTTTAGTAAGAAATGAAGAATCCTCTGTTTATTATTTTAGGTCAAGTTTGTTTATTGTCAGAGGTCATATCAGCTGCTTAGCAGAAGACATTGCTTCAGCTCCACATAAAGAGATGGACTGTGCTAGTCCTACAAATATTACTGCACCTTAGCTGATGCCATACCACAGTGACAGCCAGACACCCTTTTTAGACCTGTTTATACAGTAAAACTAAAGGCACTTCTCTAGACCAAGATATCCAATCCAGTATTAAGCACAAAACATGTCACCATCAGTCTGGATGTACGAATATGGAGAAAAATATAATTAAAAAATGTGTTGTGGATTCAATAAAATATAGGAAGAATTCAAACCTTGCTACTGGTGTGACCTTCATAAATTTGCAGATATACCAGCTTTCTATTGTGTAACTACATAATGTGTATTTTTCCTACCAGTATCCTAAAATTCTTCACTTCATGCATTCACAGCCCACCATAGCTCTCACATAACTTGCTTCTTCTCTTAAGTATATGTAAGGAAGGACTTCGTCCATGTTACAAATGAATTGTGCTACTCTGAAATCAATAAAATTATGAAAAGAATATGTGTGAAGTTATAGGTTCTTTAAGACAGGCCACTGGTATCTAAAAGCAAGACTGTTTAAATTTATCATTACGTGCATATAAGATGACAATGAAAGGGTTAAACAATTTTCCCATGTTTATGTGCTCCTAGAAAGTATTCTCAGTATGCGGTTTAACAAGTTTCCAATCTGCAAGCAAGTATTACTCCTGAAAGCAAGTATTACTACTGAGATTCAATACTCTCATTTCCACAAGTGTGAGGCTATTATTCTGTTTTTAGATAATATTTATGGAATTCATCTTTTCACCAGATATTTTACTTTCCTCTTGCTAATATTTTAAGCTTCAAAAGTTAATGACACATTCCATTGTTCAGCTTTGTTCAGCAGAACTTCACTCAGTTGTGAAGTTGAACCTAAAGCTATTTAGTGCATCAACTGAAAATGTTAACTTCTAAATAAAGAGTGAAGGAATAGAATTTCCATTGGATTCTGCAACAAAATTCACTCAGTAAAATAAAAGCTGTGGGAAATGGGAAAAGAAAATTCCACACATGAGATCTTGTGATTTTGAAAAGCCTTTACTGTAAATGCTGCCAAAATGTTGAATCACACTTGATATTAAAGGTGTGAATAGATTATGGGAAAGTAGCAAGTTGTGTGCATGATCAAAAAAAAACCAAACAACTAGCAGTGCTGGAAAAATGCATTGTTGAATAAAACTGATCTTGGTTACTGTTACTTTTCTTAGCATCATGTTTGCACCGAGCATGGACAAAAACAGCTTCTTACCTGCTCTGATAATTCTGGCCCGTTGATACTAGCCTGTACTAAAGCATCATTAACAAGTGAATGAAAGTTTAGTAGCATGTGCTCAATGTCATGTGTCCCACTCATGGCACTCGAGAGCTCCTCCAGGGACTGAATATATCCCCGCCAATGAAGATCAACTTCTGCCACGTTAGCTAAGCAGCCTCGGATGACGTTGAGGCAGTAGCCCATACAGGGCTTACTTAAAGTCAGCCCTTGGCAATGGGGGCAGTACTGCATCCTCAGTAAAGCTCTGCTGCAGTCTTTAGAGAAATGCAGATGATCTGTTGTATTGATCACTTCAATCCCCAAATTCAGAGCCTGCAAGAAAGTTCGGCTGGGTAACAGTGATCTTGCCATCTGTCTTAAGGCCTTTTTGGGAACGTTACCAAATGGCTTGATGTCTCCTCTCACCATTTGGAGGCACTCTGCATACTCCAGTGAAATGTCAGTCAGACCAGGGTTAATCACGTAGTTGTAGACTACTGGGAACAGGGTGTCAAAAAATCTGTTGACAAACTCCTCTGTGCTAATATCTGTGCCAAATATGAAGAGTCCAACATCTGTGAAAAACTCCTGGACACGTGTAGTAGCCTCAGCAGCCATGTTCCTATACGCATTGCAGAAGAGTGTGCTTGTGTGATTCTCAGCCAGTCTGATAAGCATTTCAAAGGTTTCTGTAATAAATTTAAAAATTCATTATTTTTAAGGTTTAAAACCCCAGGATATTAGAGTGATAAAACAATTACATCAGGACATCTTACATCTATCCCAGATGTATTTTTGCATGAGGATACATGAAGAGAAACTTCTCAAAACTAAGACAACTGTCTTTTGTATGTGGGCAAACACATTACAAGTCACATTACAACACAATTAATAATCCATGTCTTTTCTTGTCAGGATATATTAAATACAGTCTAAAAAATATAAAAGGAAATTGATAATAAGCTGAGTTATTAAGTTACAAAAAACAACAATGCCCTACTGTATTAGTCTAAATATATACATACATTAGCTCTCATTTCACCTCTCATTCTGTAAGTTGTCACAGAGAGTTAAATGCTCTCATTCACTTCACTTCAAGATGAGCAAAAGTGACATTAAAAAAATTAAACAAATCTTCCATTAAAATTTAACTTTTAAAAGATCAAGCAGTTTTGTTGTCTTGTCTTCCAAAGGAAGGAGATGTACCTAACACACATGAGAACATGCTTTTAAACAATGCTGTTTGATCTCGCAATTGCTGTGGTCAGGCAAAGTGCTGGAACGTGCAGAATTTCTCTCCTCAGGCACTGTGATGCACACACCCTCTCTAAGCCTCAAGATCTGCATAACCAGTAAAGCCTGAATGGATAAACTTACATTTTGTTTCATGTGTTGTGGACAATCCATAAGTACACTGAGTAGCTTTTAATAAAACAGTTAAAGTATGGTGGAGAAGTAGTGTCTCCTGACGTGATCGGTGATTTGCAAATGAGGAAAAATGCTGGTTTTCAAACCACAAAAAGTGATCACATTGATGAATTTCCTAGATTTACCTGAGAAGCTTGCACTTCAGGGAAAGCAAAGAAGCAATATGCAGATCAAAAGAAAACTTACCTTGGGAGTTGAGAATAATACATAGAAATATGTATTGTAAGTGTTAACCCATTTTATCCACTGAATGGCTATGACTCAGTAACTTTATTTTATTCATTCAAACTTTTCAAGTTCTAATGTGTTTATTTTTTTCACATTTCTTTTAAATAAGGTTCTATAGAAATTAATTGAGGGAAAGCAGTTAATACTTCCCAAACAGTGGTGTTAAAAATAATCAGAATCAAATAGTGTCAAACTGTACCAGGCAATTACTGAAGCAATCCAACATCTGTTGTTAAGTCACTGACTGAAAGAAATTGGAAAAACCTCAGAATAATTTTAATATAACCAAGACTGGCTATCACATCTTTAATACATATCTATGCATAAGAATAAAAATATTCTATCCTGATAAAAAGTTTGTTCAGGTTAGTGAAATTATTCTCATGGACTTCAGTGAGTTTGAAATCACGCACTTTGTGAAAAGATCATAGAGAAGTCATACAAATCTAATCTGCTTATATTTTCTAGCATTGTTTCCTCCAATAAAAATGAGATACATGCTGACAAATTAGTCATTACCTCTATTCTTCTGCTATTACCTATTTTATATTAACTCTTAGTTTCATATTTCACAGCATGCTTAATACAGCTTTGCTGTCTTTTTTCCATTCCTCTAACATTCACCTAAGTAACGAAAACAGTATTGACTGACCACATAGAAGGGTATTTCATCCTATTTGTCTTATTCTTTTTCCATTACAATGGCACATACATATGTGGATGCCTTGTGATATAATAATTCATATTTGCCGAATATCACAGTGATTTGGCAAAAGGTTTGATTTGTTTAAAAAGTCAAACTCGTGAAGTCAGGACCCTGCACAGAGTTAGGCTCCCCCCAGTGGACACCTCTTCAATACAGCAAAGCCTCTTCATTTTATCCCGAGTTGACATGTAGAAGTGTCTGCTGTGTAACTGTAAATCACAGCTGCCTGCACCACTTCCAGCTCTGTGACTTTTTTCAACCTCAGCACCTCATGCCAGATAATACCCGAGAAACCTGCACCACACTCTGTTTGCAGGTGTGCACACGTGTATAGGAGACCCATGTCCTTCTGGAGCAGCAGATGAATGGAACAGATCAGACAGGGCATATTAGATTGGCCAAGTTGCCTACTTTCAGGCAACTGAACTGAGGATGAGATCTCTACCAGCTGCAAAGGCTCAGTTTAGAGACAGCCCACATGGAGGCACATATACACGCACAGCAAAATTACAGCCCTAAATATCCTACTGTATGTTACATCTCATTTTTATTGGAAGGAACAAGGAATGCAAAAAAAGTACAATCCTACTATGGAGGCTTTATTTAGACGCTTAAGAATGTTTAATGGCATTTTCAATGGTAGATGCTGCTTATGTGCCTGTCCAGAAGGGCATGGGTATCCTTTAGGTCCTATGTCACATCCACATTTTTATTTAAAATGATACTAGATGGCTGTGCCTAGACAATTAAACTAAATTCTAGATACCCAGTTATCACTGACTCGAGAACTCTTCATATAAAAGCTTGGATCAGGCAAAACAACAAGGACAAAAATTTAAATCAAATTGGTTCTTGGTTTAGATGTTTTTAAATAATAACATGTGAAGAATATGAAAGCCCGCTAAGAAACTGGCTATTTTTGTAACTTTAGATTCAGTCTTTTACACAAATTTTACAAAGGATTCAGATGAAATTTGTTCAAGTAGGTAATGTTAGTAAAATGATTATGTTATAAAAATCTCTTTAGAATTACATGTTTTTTTATGATCCATTTCAATTTTTTATTATTACTATTTCTGAGATGAAAATCATAAAGTATATGATATAAAATGTCTGTTATGATCCATGGCTGCAGAATCCTATTACAAAGAGCACAAATATTAGACAAAATAATAAACCATGCTGCACATGGCTAATCAATAGAATTTACAATGTGGTCTAAACAATAACAAACCTTTAAGATTTAACTACATTGCTAGTGCCTCAGCAACCCACAGATGAATGAGTACAATAATCAGCTTCTTGATTTATTGGCTATTTTTGCGTCTCTAAACGGCATATGATAGCACCAGCCACTTTTGTTTATGATTCTACGTTATGCTGTCATTTTAGGAATTCTTACAAGATTTGTTAATCACGTTTATTCTATTGGTATGTTTCCAACTTTATAATCAAGAAAACTATGCCAAAGATTTGTTTTGCTCTCAGACAACGTGAAGAATAACAGCAAAGCAGACCTATGCTTACTTTAAATATTGAACAGCTCCTGTAAACACCTTATGATGGCAATCTGTGTAATTTACACTATTTTCAGAAACTCAATGACCAATCACATTATACTGGCTCAATACTGTAAGAGTATCATAGCTCTTATGTCATTTAGGCTTATGGGCCCAGACTAACATAATCAGTCTTAATTATCCAGCCACATAACAGAAGTGGTGAGTTTTAAATCAGTATAAATCAAATACATTTAAAAACGTTTTAAATATCACAAAAATGAACCAGACAAGCTCTTTTTATTAGTACTAAATGATTTTTGATTTGCAGGTTCAGTGATTCTTGCCTCCATCCTTTATGATATATTTGTAGTAACTGCTATACAATATCCTACAGATACCTTCTGCAGCACTACAGTGAATAATGTCTAGCATTTACCGTGGGTAACATGTCAACTTCATTCTTCTTTGACTGCACTTAAAATTATTATCTGTACACTCCTAAGTCAAAACTTTGGGTAGTCAATTTATTAGCCCTTTCCTTTTTCAGAAGAGCAGTAGTATCTCTCTTCCTGGTTTTGCTAAAAACAAAAAACATGGCTAGGAAAAAAATGTAGATAAGCACTTGTTTGTTATATGTATTGCATTTGTTCAGTTGGTTTCTTATATCAGTACATATATAGATTCCTTTTTTATAATAGTGTATTTAACAAAGTGATTATAAAGTGATGTAGAATAACTATCAGGTCATTGCTTTAAAAGATCCTCAAACTTTCATTCACTTTTTTTAACCTTTCTGCTCCTGAGAGCCACAGGTAGTTTTATATTATAAAGATATCACAAGGCAGTAATCAGTCCAGTGGATTACTGGCTTTAAAAGACAACACAATGCATATACACGCCTTATTTACTACAAGAACTCACAAACACAAAAAAAATTACTTTTTTTTCATTATTTTTTTTTCTGGACATTAATCAAATTTAATGGAAATACTGCAGAGAATGAGACAGAATTTTGGTTTGACTTAAAACCAACCCTGCAATTCTCATCCTTAATAGTCTTGGTAAAGTGTCTTTCTGCTAAAGGTACCTTAAAAAATTAATTTAAATTTATATGGAATCACACTGTTATAAAAGCAGCTGCATTTTCTTAAGTTACCTTTTCTTCACACAAATACATGTTCTATACAAGCTGTCACATGAGAAAACATGTGGTCTAAATTCTGAGTGTTACCGTTTGAAATACCTATAGTACTTAACACTCTAATAAATTAAAAAATCCAGTGTTAGTAGTGGGCAAAAAAGTTGTGAAGACTTAGAATTCAGTAGTAATTCACCAGCCTACCTTACATATTATAAATTTATTCAGACTTATGGTAACATACAGAACACAACAAATTATAACCACACAAGCTAAAATCAATCCTTGAACTAGAGACATAGTATTTAGCAAGAATGCCTTTCACAGTCCAAATCTGCTGAGCCTACATTACCTTAAGTGTCAAGCCATAATATAGAGGAATCCAGATAACTAAACCCAAGTAAAAGCTGAAAAACCTAATAATATTATGAATTTATCATGACTTCAAGAATCCTGTGGGAAACCATTAGCCTGTTGCCAGTTGCCCTTAATGTTCAGTGATCTCCTATGTTTCCCTTCTGTATACGTGCAGTGCAAAAAATCCAGAAGCATCAGACTATTTCTACTAAAGATTTATAGTCCAACAAGTGTATCTTGCATTCATTGCTTGGTTGGAGTCAAGGGGAATATCTCAGGTACAGCTTACAGCCTAGCAAACAAAAGTCATTCAAAAATTATGGAAAAGAA